CTCCCCCATGCGGCGTGGGCTGCGTCGCCGTTTGTAATTGGCGTTATGTGGGGGGCTCTCGAATGGCTGTGCTCTGGGCAGTCGCTGTTCGATGACGCCAGCGGCGCCACTCTTATTTTCTTGCCCAGGAATGTTTCTGACCTTCAGCTAGCCTCTGGAGGCTGCGCGAGAGCCCCCGATAAGATGAATCTGATCTCGGCCATTATCAATCGCGCGACTTGCCCCGCCCTCAAGGCTAGCGCCCCGCAGTGCAAGAGGGGCTCTACCATTGGCAGAAACTCCAGGAACAACATCCTCTATCTCGGCGTCTCCAGTCGCATCCTCTCGGTCGGCGAGCCTGGTTCACCGAGGTCCCCCTCCTGTTCAGCCTCGACTTCGGCCAGGCCTTCCCGTCCTTGATCCAGGACTTCCTCCTCCTGTCCTTGCTGGCACATCACCTTCCTGGAGCCTCCCTCTCGTTCGTCGAAGCTGTCTACCCATCGATCCATGGCATGGTTATGTCCATGGGCGCCCTCCCCGCCTCTACTGTATCCAGAGTGGCGCCATTCTGGGTTGCGCGCTCCCGGGGGCCTCATTTGCGTTCATTGCCTCAGCATGTCCCCATCATCTCCCTGGTATGATCGGGGGCCCCCAGCGTGGCCCTGCGCGGGCCTGTGCCCATGATATTTGGGGCGCTGTGTCCGATGTCTCCGATCTCCACGGCGTCGTGAATCTGGCATCAGGTTTGGCCAACCTGTATCCGAAGGCGTCCAAGTGCAAGGTCGCCCCCCTCTCAGGCCCCTTCGGGCCCTCTTTGGATCGCCGCGTCAAGACCGCCATCGCCGACGTGGTTCCCGAGTGTAGCCAGTTTGAGGTATCGCCCTCCCTATTATACCTGGGTATATGGTTGGGCCCCAGCGCGGGTCCGTCAACGCGCTGGCTCGAGCCCGTCTCTAAGCTCAGGCATCGCGCCCGGGCGATCGGCAGGAGCACTGCGCCTGCCAGTTTGTTCTCCGTCCTGTGCGACGCGCGAGCGGTCGCCACCATCACCTACGTCGCGCAGTTCTGCTGGCCGCCCAACAACCACGCGCTCCTCCCCGAGCTCTCCGTTCCGCATCCCTCTCGGCGCCCTCGACCTGGCCTCGCGTTCGCAGCTCGAGGTCCGGGGGGGCCCCCGCGCCCTCCGCTGGGCGCGCGTCGCGGTTGCCTCGATCGCGCGCGCGGCTCGCTGCGCATTCCCGCGTTGGCAGGAGTGGCTTGCCCTGCTTCGGGCCCGCCTTCACTGCCATGGGGACTGGCGCGCTCTCGACGTGCTCGCCCCACGGCGGCCCGACCCCTCTTTCTGGCGCTCCCCCGCGCTCGTCGAGAACCCGGAGGCCGCTGCTGCGGGCCGCGCCCCTGCTGGCCCCCTGGCACCCCCGGGCGCCGCCGGCTGCCGCCGCTGCCCGCGAGGCCTTGCGCCCGCCCGACGGCTCCCACCCTCGGCCGCGACGTGCCGATCATGCCGTCCTGCGGCGCCTCGCCTCGCCGGCGCCCCGCTGGTCGCCCTGCCGCTCCGCCGCCTCGCTAAGCTCGCGGGGCGCCGCGCCCGTGACCTCTCTGCCGTCAGCTGGGGCGCCTGTGCTGCTGTTCTCCGCCGCTGCATCTGCTCGCGGGCATGGGCGGTGCCCCGCGCATGGCTGGGCGCCTGGCTCGCGACATCGCGCGCCACCTGGCCGCGTGGCCGTCGGCGCTGCGCCCGCGGCTGCCTCGGCCGCCCTGACTCGCTCTGCCGCTGCGCGAGATGCCTTGTGATGTTCGGCGCCCTTCGGCGCGCCCTCTCGCGCCCGCCCCCGCCCCGTCGGCGGCGGCGCCGGTCGCTGGCCCCGCCCTCCTCGGTCGCCAGGGGCCGCGTGTGCGCCGCCGACCTCGTGTGCAGCGAGATGCGCCTCATCGAGGCCGCTCTCCCCCGCCCTGCTGCGCCCCGTCGCGCTGGCAGGCGTTCGCGCCGCGGCTCCGGCCGACCCGCGCGCCCCGCCCGAGCAAGAGCGCCAGGCCTTTCAGCGCCGCGACTACATCTTGCACAAGCCGCAGCCGAGCTCATCGCCACCGTCGCCCCCGAGCCCCCCACCTGCGTCGCCGCGGCTGACTCCGCCGCCGCCCCCCATCGACTTCGACCTGCTCAGCGCTGCGGGCCTCGCCGCCGCCCCCCACTTCGTCTCCGACGGCCTCCGCAATGCTACTTCGCCCCCGCCGTCGCTGGAGATCGACGACTCTGATCTGGCGGAGGCCAGGGCCTTCTCTGTGGCGGGGCGATCTCGCTGGATGTCCCCGTCGCTGGCCCTTTGGCGCCTGACCAGCCTCGCGGCGTTGAGTCGCAAGTCCCGCTGTGGTGTTCGGTCCCACCGTCGCCGCGCTCTGTTCACCTCGGCGTTAGAGCACAAATCCTGTTCCCCGGTTCGGGCTCGCCGTCGCCGCGTGCCGTGCGCCCCCGCGGTGGCGCCTCAGCCGACGGCGTAAATGCGCAAGTCTTGCGGTCGTGTTCGGGCTCGGCGTCGCCTCGCGTCGGATGCCTCGAACTTGGCTCCGCTGCCGTCGGCGTTAGAGCGCAAGTCCCGTTGTCGTGTTCGGGCTCGGCGTCGCCTTTTGTCGGATGTCTCGATCTCGGCCGTGCTGCCGCCGGTGTTCGATCGCGCGCCCCGTCGTCTTGTTCGGCCCCGCCGTCGCCGCGTGCTTGATCTCTGGGCAGCTCCTCGTCTTGGCCGATTGCTGCGTCGAGTCATGTTGCCCCCTCTCTTGCGGTGGCCGCATGTACTTCGCTTGCGCCCTCGGCTCCACTGTCCGCGCGACGTTCTCGGATAGAAACTCTTCCTTCTCTGCTTGAGCCTTCTTCTCCGATTGCGCCCTCGACCCAGCCGTTCACCTGCACTTCCCGTTCGGTGGGCCTCGCCTCGCCGATCCCCTCGGCCTGCGCTCGCCCCCCCCTCTGGCCGCGTCTCCCCGACCGCCCCCTGCATTCCCAATTTGTTCCCGAGGTTTCGCCATCTGGCCTGCAGCGCGTTGTACTTTTCCCCGCGCCCACGCAGACTGTCCCATGGCATCTTGTTTCTTCCGTCCCCTCGACCTTCGTTCCTGAGCCTTCCTGCTGTTGCCGATGCCTGCTGCCCGCCGGGTTTTCCCCTCCTGGTCGCCGCCGTGCCACCTGTGCCTCCTGTCCCTGCTCCGTCGTTCATCTCCCTGAGACCTGCTTCTGTCGCTGCTTGCCCCCGGCCCGCCCCCCCTTCTCTCGCTGGCGCCCCCCGGCGTCGTCATCACCCTTTGGCTTCTCGCCATATCAATACGGCGTGTCGCTCCCGTGCCACTTCATCGAGCGCGCCATCGGCGCCCCCGAGGCCAGGCGCGCCCGCGCCTGCTCTCTCGCGCGGCCCGCCGCCGACTCCTCCCCCGAGCTGGAGGGGCGAGGGGTGGAGTTGGATGAACTCATCCTCTACGCTGGTTTCCTCCTCCTCCTCGTTCCCCCCCTCCTCCTCTCCCCCCTCCCTCATTGAGAGGAGGGCGGGATGAGACAGCGGTAGTTGGCCTTCGGTCGGGGGTGCCCTTTGGCGCGGCGGCAGGCGCGGCTCGGCGACAAACTGATGCGCGTGGGCCCTGGAGGATTCAGGGGGCCCGTTTTGACTTGCGGCTGTTTCAATTCGGTCAGCTTCGCTTATGTTTTCGCCCCCCGTCGAGCGTTTTTTTTTTTTTTTTTTTTTTTTTTTTTTTTTTTTTTTTTTTTTTTTTTTTTTTTGTTTATATATATATATATATATATATATATGTATATGTATATGTATATGTATATATGTACATATACATAAAAAACAATTTACAATATTTTTCGGGGCCACAATGCGCGCTCTGCCCTCCCCCTCCCTTCCCCCGCCCCTCCCCCCCCCCGTAGCGTCACGCCCTCCCCCTCTCCCCAGTGCGCCCCTGGCGCTGCCGAGGTGCGTCCGGCACTGCAGTCTGTCGTGGTGGACCCACGCGTCGAGGGGGGGGGCGTTGCGTCGTGCCCCCCCCCTTCTCGGCCCCCCTCCTTCCCCCCCACAGTGTTCGCTATCGCCACAAATATAATATGCCCCCCCCTTCTCAGCTCACTCCTCCCTTCTTGGACCTGTTGCCGCTCGCCCAACTGCTGCCGTCGAAGCGCCGCGGAAGGGTGCCGGCCCCCGAGGGGTGGGCGTCTGCGTGTGGTTCTCCGTGTACCGCTGCACCCGCCCAGCTGCCTTGGGCTCGGAGTGGTGTCGTGCGCGCAGCGGTAAGGTGCCGACATGGTACGACGTTTTTCTTACGGGCGTGGAGCGCCACCACGGTTTATCGCCGGAGGCTCCCGTTTTTTTTCGGAGCCCGATCACGAGATTATCAGGCCTTCTTCTTCTTCGCTTTACACGTGAAACGCGACCACATCTACCTGTTTGATATCGTTATTCAATTGCTTTCTTTGGAGGTGCATGCGGTGAGAGTCCTGTTCCCAAGTTTGGGGAGCTGTGCGCACAACGGGATGGAGCGAGGGCAAGGGTGTTCGCGGATCGGTTGGTTCGGCTGTATCCAGGCTGGCAGCGGGGGTTTTGGGCGCGCAGCTCTACTTGTCACGATTGTTGACGGGTCATTGATGGTGCATCAGGGCGCACGTTGTGAGCATCTCGTGTCCGCACGATGCGGGTGTTTGAAATGTTTCTCGATTCCGAGTGGGCACGTCCACAGTGAGCGAGGCTTCATGCCAATAGCGTGGGGATACGAAGACAAAAAGGAGCGGAGGAGCAGGAATATGGAGGAGAAAACGTGAGAAGGAGGAGGAGGATGAGGAGGAGGATTCGAGGATGCCGGGGGGAGGGATGAGGAAGAGGAGGAGGAGGAGGAGGAGGAGGAGGAGGAGGAGGAGGAGGAGGAGGAGGAAGCGGAAGGGTAGCATTGAGTTCATTTGTTTCTGTCTCCATCATGTTGTTTCCTTCTTCCGCACTCTTTGTTTGTTTGTTTGTTTGTTTGGCTGCGCCCCCGCACAGGATGCAACCGACGTGTTCGACAACTATCACGCTGCGCGCGTGTACAAACACATCTTACCGCAGTTCCTTGTTGGCGAGGTGCTGACCTTTTCCCAGCAAATGGCAGAAGCAGCAATCGAATCCGACCTGCTCAATGTCATGTATTGATGCTGGTGGTTCTGGAAATTTGTGCGCACGCTTATGGAAGGTTTTGCAGTTCGGCGTCCTCATATCGACCTCGTTCAGCCTTGCCGCTGTCTTCCCTCGCTTCCTCCCTCCTCCCCCCCTCACTCGCTCCTCCCTCCTCCCGCCTCGCACTTCCCTCATCTCTCCTCGCTCCTCTCTCCTACCTCCTCCTTCTCCTCATCCTCCTCCCTCTCTCCTACCTCCTCCTTCTCCTCATCCTCCTACCTTCTCCTTCTCCTCTCTCCTACCTCCTCCTCGTCCTCCTCTTCCTCCTCTTTCCCTCCTCCCTCCAACCTCCGCCCTCTGCCCTTCAACCTCCACCCTCCGTCGTCCCTCCCTCCTCCTCCTCTGTCTTTCTCCTGCCTCCTCCCTCCTCCTTCTGCCTCCTCCCTCTCCGCCTCTCCTCCTCCTCCTCCTCCTCCTCCTCCTCCTCCTCCTCCTCCTCCTCCTCCTTCCTCCTCAGACCACCCGCGAAAACGAATTTTCCAGCAATCCTGCCCCCCCCCCCTCCTCCGCCTTTCTCCGCCCCATAGTTTCGACGCCTTGTTTTTTCATTCTGGGGTTCCCAGAGGGTTTGGACCCTTGGGGCTGAAGGGATGGGAGACAATGCAAACGGGGGTGAGTCACACCGCCAGATCTTGCAGGATCCTGCAGGGGTCCGCAAAGCCTGACTGGCCCAGTTTTGGCTCGGCCCGGGTCAGCAGATCCCCGAGACCCCTTCTCCAGGGCCGGCTCTCCATCCCGAGTCGCTTTTTGGCGTCCCGAGGCCCGCCGAGAGCCTCTAGAGGCCGAGAACGACTGCTTACGATGCGTTGGAGGTCTGGGTCCTCCTCGTTCTCCTACTCCTCGTCTTCCTCGTTCTCACCGAAATTCCGTGGCCTGAGCCAGTTGGTGCCGACCGCATCTGAAGCAGCGGCCTCCGATCTCACACGGGATTGTTTTCAGTCCTAAGAGTTGCGTCAGGTTCATCGTCACTGCTTTCCTTATGATGGGTTCTAGTCCTAACCCTCCCAAACTTTCGCCTCTGGGACTGGCGGCCGCCGCGAGGTCACGGACGTCGCCGTCTATCCGCACGTCGCGGACTTCCGCGCTGCGAGGCAGGAGCGCCCGTTGTGAGAGCCTCGCCTTGCCGGTGGGATGGATGATGAATGGATGGATGCAGGGATGTAGGGCGACAGGGAGGGAGCTGGATGAGCAGGGGTTTGAAGAGGAGGAAGAGGTGGAAGAGGAGGAGGAGGAGGAGGAGGAAGATGAAGATGACGATGATGATGATGAGGAGGAGGAGGAAAAGGAGGATGCGGATGCGGATGCGGATGATGATGATGTTGATGATGATGATGCTGATTATGATGGTGATGATGCTGAGCATGATGATGATAATGATGATGATGATGATGATGATGACGATACTGATAATGATGATGATGATGCTGATTATGATGATATTGATGATGATGATGATGATGATGATGATGATGATGATGATGATGATGATGATATTGATGCTGATGATGATGATGATGATGTTGATGATATGATGGTAGTGGTGGTGCTGATGATAGTTGTGGTGATGATGAGTTTGATTCTAATGATGATGAGGGTGATGATGATGATTGCGCTGCTGATGATGATGCCGCTGCTGATGATGATGACGATGATGCTGATGCTGATGATTATGATATGCCGATGATGATGGTGACGATGATGATGACGATGATGCTGATGATGATGCTGATGATCATGCAGCAGAGTAATATTATGGTGATGGCTTATCCAGCGTGCCACCGGAACATAATCGCCGCCCTCCTCGCTTATCCTGCCTCTTTCGTTGTCGTCCTCTTCCTCCTTCCACAGTCGCACTGCTGCTGTTGCGTTTACTGTTCGGCCCTTCTTCCATCCTTTTCCTGTCCCTCGTTCCCCCTGCCAATCTCTTCTTCGAGTCTGGGGCCTCAGGCCTCGTTTTTACATTGCTGTCCTGTGAGTCGTGCAAAGCTCGCGGTTCCCATACAGCTTGCGCAGGCAATGACAGATCCTGCGCTTTTATCGGCCAGACTTTTCGTCACCCGCTCATTTTGTCACTTTGTGCAGATGAGTTGGGTACGTCGCAGGGTAATTTGTTAGGGATGGTTTTTGCTACAGCTACGAAGGTTATTCGGGATTCCTTTTTTTCCAACCATCCTATGGTGTTGGGTCCTCGTCTTGAAGAGACAGCGCCCCGCGTTTCTCTCCTCTCCTGCTCCTCCCCCTTCTCCCCCTCCACCCTCCATCCTCATCCGATGCATCATTCTCATCATCATCATCCTCTTATGCTCATCATCATCATCATCATCACCATCATCATTATTATTATCATCATCATCATCATCAGCATCATCCTTATCTTCACCGATTTCGGCACACTCATCACACGTTTCGTGGCCCCACAGGGGGCTCCACCAGAGGCCCCAGTGGGAAGGTCCGCATGGCACTTCCGCCCCATTTCGGCACATCCCTCGCACGGTTCGTGGCCCCACAGGGGGCTCCACCGAAGGCCTTCAATCGGAGGGTCCGCATGGCACCACCGTACCCGTTTCGGCACACCCCTCGCACGGTTCATGGCCTCACAGGGAGCTCAACCGAAGGCCCCACTGGAAGGACCCGCATGGCACCACGCTCCAATTCTTCACACTCCTCACACGCTTCGTGGCCCCATAGGGAGCTCCCCCGAAGGCCCCAGTGGGTGAGTGATCAGGGGGCACCGAGACACCTGCAGAGGGCGCATATGCCTTCGAAGACTCTCATAGAGTACCGAGGCAGCACACCGCCTCCCCCAACGCGGCGGAGCTTTTTGGCGATGGACTGGCCGTCGCGCGCGACTTCCAGTTTTTGGCCCCGCCGTCGGAATTGGGGGACTTTCAGGCAGTGGACACAGAAGAACAAACACTGCTGCTGCCCTCACCCCCACAACTTGGCGAGAACGGCCATCCGACTCCACTTAGTCGCGCCGCCGCAAGCGCGCCAAGGGGTCGCGGTTGCACCGCCCCAGGGTTTCTATTGGCGACGATTTTGTTTTCGACGTGACAGCCATAGTGAATCCAAACGCATTTTGTCTCATTGAAGAGACGGGGTACGCATGTCGCGAGACTGTCCAGGCTCCTCTTTGGAAGGTCAAGGACGCGGCGAAGCAGGAAGGTGTCCAGGGCCCCGCGCAGTGCGACCTCCGCCGCGCGCATCGCGAGGCGCGACGACGCCTCTGAAGTGCTCGGCCGAAGGAACAGATTCAAGACATCCGCGATAGTGGGAGGTTGCTCGTCGAGTATCTTCGCGCTTTTGCTCGCGACAGCGGAGTTCCATCGACTGGGGGGAAGTACTGAGGGAAGGAGCCGGGGACGGACCAGTTCTATGAACAGTATGTTTTCCTTTCCGACGTGGGGAATATCCTCGTGCACTGCGTGTAATCGCGGATCGACGAGGGGGTTCTCACCCCGGCAACGGCAGGGACTGATGAGCGATGGGTTGGTTACTCGCAAGACGACCTCATGAGGCATAGTGTTCGGAACCCACGGTCTGCTGGTGAAGATGGCGAGGGCATGGGGCAAGGGGCCGAGGCGCCCAACGACGACGTCGAGGGCGCCTCCGACGATGGGGGGCCGCCCCGGGCCGCAACGGGCAAATGCGCCCGGGGGCTCTCCATAGAAATAGCGCGGAACCGTGAGGAGGGCTGTCGCGCTGAGACCGCGGCGCCCCGCGCGCCCCGCCGGCCAGGGGCAGTGCGCCAACGGTCGAAGCGCCCGTCCGCCCCCCCCCCGCCCCCCAGACTCGCGCGCGCCTGATCCGCGAGATGGGGCGACATCTCATTAGCCCCCGCTGGTGGATGAGACAAAAACATTGACGAGAGAGCGTGTCATAGAGGCCAGCAAGTCTGTGGCTCGAATGGAGTAGGTGCACCTGTGTCTCCGTCTCGGATGTTATTGCGCGACGTGCAAATAGTCAGGGTCGATGTTGAAGCCGGTGGAATCGCGCGATTAGCGCGAGCTGTCCAACGCGGCATTGCACGTGGACCCGCGCGCGCCACGTCGCCCCGCACATTGCCATTCGGTCAGCGCTTATCGACAGAACGCCCTCGCCAAGGTCTTGGAACGCGAAAAGCTGCTCTTCGAGTTGCAGTGCCGATCTGTGACATTCGAGGGGGCGGCGGGGCTGAGCGAAGAAGCTGCAGCGAGCCAGTCATTGCAACGGGCTCGGATCTGCTTCAGGGCGAGAGAGGCCAGCCGTCCGCCGCGAGCGCGGATGAGAAGACCCGCGGCTGCGCCGCGATTCCTCGCTTGCCTCATTGCCCTCCGAATCTGCGCCACCTGCGCGGGCTCGGAAATTCCGCGATGGCGCGACCCTCGAGGCTGGAGAGTCGACCTGCCGAAAGACACCAGGCTTGGTGGACCTGGGAGTGTCCAGCGAGGAGCGGCCTCCGCCGCCGCCTTCCACTGCCAGAAGTCGGGTCCAGATTCGAGATATCGATCGCGGTTTTGGGGGGTGTCAATGGCAACGAGTCGGACGGCGCCGGGGGCGATCGGGGCGACGATGGCGGGCGCCGAGCGGGGGGGACCTGAACGGATGTCCAGATTAATTCCCTTCAGCTTAATCTCCAATAACCTCACTGACGCACTCGCGTCAAAGCACCTCTGACTTGGAGGGGCCCCGGCGCCGCCGCAGCGGGACGGAGGCCCACGGCCGGAAAATCGTTTCGTTTCGTTCGCGTCGCGCGCGCGAGCGAGGCGAGGTTGCGCGGGCGCGCGAGAGGAATGATCCCGCCGTTGTTAGGGCGAAATCAAGACACAGGACGATGCCCGTTCCGTCCGTCCGTCCGGCGGTAGCCCTCGCGGTGTCCCGCGGTGCCCCGCGGCGCCCCGCGGCCCCCCGTTGCGTCCGCCGTCGTCAGGGCGAAATCAGGACAAATGATGGTCACCCGTCCGTCCGTCCGTCCGGCAGTGTCCCGCGGCGCCCCGCGGTGCCCCGTGGCGTCCGCCGCTGCTTGGGCGAATTCAAGACAAACGATTCCCCCCCCCTTGCCCGTCCGGCGGTGGCTCGCAGCGTTCCGAGGTGCCCCGTGGCGCCCCGTGGTGTCCGCCGTTGCTGGGGCGAAGTCAAGACGCCGGTTTCCCCCCCGCCCGCCCGTCGCCCGGCGGTGGCTCGCGGCGCCCCGCGGTGCCCCGTTGTGTGCGCTCAGCTCTATAGTGAGATCGGTACTGAGATCGATTCTGAGATCGATACTGAGATCGATACTGTGACTGACGCGGTTCCCCGAGGCGTCCCGCGGTGGATCGGGGCGCCCCAAAAAGTGAGATCGATAGCGAGATCGATACTTAGATCGACAGATGCGCCGCGATGAACGACGGCGTTCCGCGGGGTTCTCTGAGTGAGATCGATAGAGGATAGAGAGATCCATGCGGAGATCGACGCGGCGCCCCGAAGTGTCCGCGGTGTCCCGTGGTGCCCCAAAAAGCGAGATCAGTAGTGAGATCGATAATGGGATCGACAGGTGTCCCGCGGTGCCCCGCGGCGCCCCGTTGAGTGAAATCGATGGCGAGATCGATCGTGCGATCCATGTTGTGTCCCGAGGTGTCCCGTGGTGTCCTATGGTGTCCCGTTGAGCGAGATCGATAGTGGGATCGATAGTGAGACCGATAGCGAGATCGAGAGGTGCCCCGCGGTGGCCCGCGGTGTCCCGTAGCGTTCCAAACAGTGAGATCGATATCGAGATCGATAGTGGGATCGACGAGCTCCCCGCGGTGTCCCGTGGTGCCCCGTTGGGTGAGATCGACAGTGAGATCGATTGAGTCAGACTTTGCCCCCCCCCCCCCCCCCCGGGCGACCCCCTCATCGCCCGAAGGGATGTTGCAGAGGCATATGAGTGCAAGGCGAGCAGAAAGGAGAGGGGAGACGGCCCACCGCGGGCTTCGGCGGAGAAGGACGAGCATGGCGCCCCGCTCATCGAGGACGACGACGTTGCAGGATCGCGGGCCTCGACATCGAGCTGGCCCAGAAGCTGGGGATGCATCGTGACTCTGGCACTGAGTCCTTCGCATGCAGAGAAAGCGGGGCGGCGGCTTCCAGAAAAGAATTGA